TTGGTGTTGGTGTCGTTGTTGCTGTTGGTGTTGAAATTGTGGTTGTCGTTGCTGCTGGTTGTTGTTGTTGGCATTGTTGTTGTTGATGTTGTTGTGGTTGCTGTTGTCGATGATGATGTTGTTGTTGTGGTTGTTGTCGGTGGTGGTGTTGTTGTTGCTGTTGCTGATGCTGTTGCTGTTGTTGTTGTTGAACATTATTAATTCTAAAGAATAATTATTGTTGGGACCCCTGGTGCACGGCCCCCCTGCGCCGCCTAGGCCGCAGCTACATTTTCATCATTTTCGTGAGGAAGCCTCAGGTAATTCGATGTGATCAAGATCCGGTTGTTTTGTTCCCCCCCGCTTTCCCTTGCAAAAAACACTATAAAATGACATTTCTTGTTCTAATATAATCAAATTTCAAGAATCCCTTGCAAAAAATAAGGTAAAGTGGACATTCGCGCGCGCAAGACGAAATCCTTCCAAAAGCTTAGTGTTCGGAGCGATTTTAACATAAAAACATCAAAAAACCAATGGTTTTTCAACAAAAAAATGTCAAAATCTCATCCCGCGCGCTCTTGCGGATTCGTAGGAAACCCAACACTTTTTAAACATTTCTGTCAAACGGGCTTTTGCGAGCAACTTTTTCGAACTTCTGCGACAACGGTTGCGCACCTGCCAGGGCCATCATCCCTGTCAAATAATACCATGCGGGACACATTCGTTTTTTGCGCGCGCACGCCGAAATCTCCAAAAACCATTGGGTTCTTAAGAATTTTAGCACCGCGCATCATAAAATCACACGAATCGCACCGTAGGTCCTCGAAAAACACCTGCACGACTTTTCAAAATTTCTACCCCGCGCGCGCTGGGTGTGGGTGGTGGCGAAGAGTCGTGTGGATATTTGGTAGAGCTTGCATTGCCCCCCCACAAAGTGGGGGTATTGGCTGGCGTCGCATGAAAACCCTGGCACTGGTGAGAACACTGAGCGTTCGGGTAAAGTGATTGTTGTTGTTGTTGTTGTTGTTGTTGCTGTTGCTATTGCTGTTGCTGTTGCTGTTGCCGTTGTTGAGAACAATGTGTTTCAGACGCCCCCCCCAGGGGGAGGGTGGCTGAGGGGGGGGGGGGCGGGCGGGCGCATCGCATCGCATCGCATCGCGGGGGGGCGCTGCACCTACGAGATTCCGATGGGATCCTTCGTATTCATGGAATCCTGGAGATCCGTTTGGAATCCTGGAGAATCCTTGGCATTCCAAGGGATTCCTACGGATGTGTGCGGATTGTTCTGAATTTCGAGGGGGTCCTGAGGGTTCTTCAGGGTTCTATCAGGAGTCCAGAGGATTTCTGAAGGAGTCCTCGGGGAACTTTTGGATTCCTGCAGATTTCTGTGAATTCCCAGCGAGTTCGGACTCCTCTGTATTCCTTTGGGCTCCAGAGGAGTCTTTCGGATTCTTCTGGGTTTCAGAGGATCCCGATGGAGCCCGAAGGATCCCTCAGGATTCAAAGGGATTCCAACGGGTCCGTGGGGACTCCCCAATCCTCTAATGAATCGCGCTTTCGTTCGGAACGTCCTCGTGATTTGCCCAGGAATTGCGCCCCTGCCTTCAAACCCTTGCCATTGACACGCTGTCGCCTAGACTTGTCGCTCGGGCCTTCCGCCCACTCTACTCAGGAGTCGACCTCGCGCTCGATAGTTATTCGCGATGTACTCAAGAATTCAGCTGCCTGTCGCTCTCTCCATCTCTCTCTCGCTCTCTCTCTCTCTCTCACTCTCTCTCTCTCTCTCTCTCTCCTCTCTCTCTCTCTCTCTCTCTCTCTCCCTCCCTCTCTCTATGTGTACATCTCATCACGAGTCCTCGCTGGAGTCGGTGGTGGTGTTGATGCCTTTGGTGATGTTGAATCGTGTTATTGTTGATGATGTTGGGGGGGGGAGGTGGCGGTTAGTATGCCACTGATGATGACTATGATGGTAGTGACGATGATGATGATGATGATGATGATGATGATGATGATGATGGTCACGATTTCCATGACGACGATGGTGATGGTGATGCTACTGATGATGATGAGGATGGTGCTGATGCTGATGCTGATGATTATGTTTTTTTATGCTGATGGTGGTGATTCGGAGTACGATGATGATGCTGTTGATGATGTTGATGTTGATGTTTGGTGATGATGGTAATGGTGATGATTTCGGTGAATATGTCAACGATGCTGATGTCGAGGATAATGATGATGACGGTGCATTTGCTGCTGATGTTGACGACGGTTGCGGTTGTGTTTGTGAGGTTGGTGATGCTGTAGGTATTGATGCGAATGGCGAGTGTGATGGCGATACTTTTGGCTATGATGATGATGATGGCGGTGATGGCGATGGCGGCGACGAGGGTGTTGATTACAGCGGCACGGGTAGGTATGGTGACGATGGTGACGACGGCGATAGTGATGTTGATGATGATGACGATGACGATGGGAACGACCGTGATGATGATGGTGTTGTTATTGGTGGTGATGGTGGTATTGGTGATGATGTTGATGACGACGACGACGAGGATGCGGCAGCTGCTGCAGATGATGCTGATGGTGGGGAGAGGGGTGATGGTGGCGGCGATGCTGAAAACTGTGGTGACTCTACTGACGAGTGATGGTGGTGATGATGATGGCGATGGTTCTGACGATGAATGGTATGATGATAGTGATGATGGCGACGACGATGATGATGCTGCTGATGATGATGGTGATGGTGATGCTGATGACGACGATGATGGGGATGGGGACGAATATGTTGCTGATGGTGATGAGAAGGCTGCTGCTGTTGCCGATGGTGATGTTGCTGCTGCTGATGATGATGGTGCTGATGGTGATGATGATGTTGATGATGAAGTCGATGATGACGGTGACGATGATGACGGTATGATGTTGATGTTCATGGTGATGGGGATGTTGTTGCTGCTGCTGCTGGTGATGATGATGAGGACGACAACGATGGAGGGTGAGAGCGGGGAGGACGGAGGGATGTAGGACGTACGCTCCGAGGGGGCGAGGGGTGATGGTTCGGCAAGGAGCGAGGGCTTTCTTAGTAAGGACTCTTGAGTAATATTTCCGTCGTAAGGCTTCATTGCCAAGGTTCTTTTGGGACGGATTCTTTCGTAAGGGATGCGTAGGGAGGTTTCTTCATTCTGGTCCTCTTAGTAAGAACTTTTGGGTAAGACTCCCATAGCTCGGATTCTTAATTCGGGTTCTCTGAGTAAGGTCTCTTGGGTTATATTCCCGCGGAGTGGCTTCAGTGTCAGGTTTTTGCACTAAGGACTCTTGAGTCATAGTCACGTAGTCAGGAATCTGCATTCAGGTTGTCTAGGTAAGGACTTTTGAGTACGAGTTCCCAAAACATATATGATGTACCAGGGTTCTCTGAGTAAGGACTCTTGAGTAGGATTCCCCTAATAAGTCTTCTTTGCAAGGACTCTTGAGTAAGGACTCGTGGGTCGGACTATGGGATAACATTCCCGTATCAAGGTTGTTTTGCTTTTCTGTGTTTTTTTGTATCAAGGTTCTCTTAGTAAGGGCTCTTGAGTACGAGTCCTGTAGTAAGGTTTCTGCATTCAGGTTCTCGGGTAAGAACTTGTGAGTAAGACTCCCATATCAAGGGTTCTTCATTCGGTTTCTCATTGTAGGGACCCTTGAGTAATAATCTCGCAGCAAGGTTTCTCTATTGATATTCTCTTAGGACGGACACTTGAGTAAGAGTCCCGCGGTGAGAATTCTTCAGTTGGGTGCTCTTAGTAAGGACTCTTGGGTCAGGTTTCCGTAGAGAAACGTCTTAACCAAGGTGTGATTAGTAAGGGTTCTTGACTAAGAACCCCGTTGTACGGGTTCTTCAGTTGGGCGTTGTTACTAAAAACTCTTGAGTAGTAGTCACGTAGTCAGAAATGTTCATTCAGATTCTCTTAGTATGATCTCGTGACTACTATTCCCATATTTCGAATTCTGTACTAAGCTTAACTCAGTGAGGACTCTTGAGAAATATTTCCACAGTAAAGGTTCTTTACTGAGGAGCTCGTAGTAAGGATCTTCAATACGACTCCCGCCGTAAAGACTCGTCATTCAAGTTCTCTGAGTAATAACTTTTGACTGAGACTCCCATAGTAAGGATATGTATTCTGGTTTTCTGAGTAAGAACTTGTCAGTGATACGACCATTGTACATATTATTTGTTCGGCTCAGAGTAATAACGTTTGGGTGATACTCTCATAGTAAGGATAATGCATAACGGGTTCTTTAAGTAAGGTCTCTTGAGTAAGAGACCCGTAGTAAGGCTTCCTCCGTCAGGTGCTGTTAGCAAGGAGTCCTGAGTAATTGCCATGTCGTCAGGAATATTCAGTCATGTTCTCTGAGTAAGGACTAGTGAATACTATTCCCATATATATATAAAAGATTGCTTTATTAAGGTGCTCTCAGCTGGGACTCTTCAGTACGAGTCCCGTAGTAAGGATTCGTTGTTCAAGTTCTCTTCGTAGCGTTTTGACTGAGACTCCCATCGTAAGGATTATGAATTCAATTATTCGGAGTAAGAGCTTTTGAGTGATACTCCCATCGTACATATTCTTTACTCGGGTTCTCAGAAGAAGAACTTTTGAGAGAGCCTCCCACAGTAAAGGTTGCATACCGGGGCTCTCTAAGTAAGGACTCTTGAGTACCATTCCCGTAGTAAGGCTTCCTCTGTAAGGGTCCATTAGTAAGAAGTCTTGGGTAAGAGTCCTTCAGTAAGGAGTTTGGGCTAAGGTCTCCTTGTAAGGATTATGTCGCAAGGGATTCCGGATTAAAATTCTTTCAGTCTGGGCTATTGGGTAAAAAGGTTTGTTGTAGGGATTCTTCATTATTGGTTTAGTAGATATCGAACTTGCGTGGGAACGATATGGCCTGGGAAGTCTCGGCGCTTGCAGGCGCCGCAGCCTCCTCGATGGGATCTGGCAGTCGAATCAATTCCCACTGGAGGCCGGCCCAGAAGCTGGTGCGGT